GGACATTTTGGGGTGCTCCCAGGGGTTTTGGGGTGCTCCTGTGTCATCATGGCGGGGGTCCCGGTGGGGTGACAGGTCATCGAGAAGGCCCACAACAACGAGCTGGAGCCCACCCCGGGGAACACCCTGCGGCAGACCTTCGAGAACCAAGTGAACCGCATCCTCAACGATGCCCGCGACAAGACGGGTTCCTCCGCCCAAAAGTCCCTTTCCGAATACAACAACTTCAAGTCCATGGTGGTGTCGGGTGCCAAAGGCTCCAAGATCAACATCTCCCAGGTCTTGGGGGGGCTCTACGGGGTCTTGGGGGGTCCCTGTGGGGTCTGGTGGGTGCCTGGAGGATCTTGATGGGGTTTGGGAGCGTCCCTATGGAGCTTAGTGGACCTCGTCAGGGTCCTCATGGAGCTTGATGCTGGTGTTGGGCACCGGGAGCTCCAAGATGACCATCTCTGAGGTCTTGGGGGGCTCTATGGGGTCTTGGGGGGTCCCTATGGGGTCTGGGGGGTGCCAGGAGGATCTCGATGGGGTTTGGGAGGGTTCCTGTGGGGTTTTGTAGACCCTCCTGGGGTGGTCTTGGGGGTCTGTGGTGGTGTTGGGCACCGGGAGCTCCAAGATGACCATCTCCGAGGTCTTGGGGGGCTCTACGGGGTCTTGGGGGGTCCCTATGGGGTCTGGTGGGTGCCAGGAGGATCTCAGTGGGGTTTGGGAGGGTTCCTGTGGGGTTTTGTAGACCTCTCTGGGGTGGTCTTGGGGGTCTGTGGTGGTGTTGGGCACCGGGAGCTCCAAGATGACCATCTCCGAGGTCTTGGGGGGTCCCTATGGGGTCTGGGGGGACCCCGTGGGTCATCGTGGTGGTCCCTGGTGATGGTGGTCTCCATGGTGAACATCTCCCAGGTACCTTGGGGATCCCTCCAGGTCCTTGGGACCTTCCCTTTGGGAATCAGGGATTCCTATGGAGTCGGGGGGGGACCAAGTTGATCACTGCAGGGTCCAAGGGGACCCTGTGGGTCATCATGGTGGTCCATGGTGATGGTGGTCTCCATGGTGAACATCTCCCAGGTACCTTGGGGATAACTCCAGGCCCTCAGGACCTTCCCTATGGGGATCAGGGATCCTTACGAGGTCTGGGGGGTGCCCCTACCATTGTGTCCGTCCCCCCCCTCAGCCTCGGTGTCCCCCTCACCAGGTGATCGCGGTGGTGGGACAGCAGAACGTGGAGGGCAAGCGGATCCCCTTCGGCTTCAAGCACCGCACCTTGCCCCACTTCATCAAAGACGATTACGGTCCCGAAAGCCGGGGCTTCGTGGAGAATTCCTACCTGGCCGGTCTCACCCCCACCGAGTTCTTCTTCCACGCCATGGGTGGGCGTGAGGGTCTCATCGACACCGCGGTCAAGACGGCCGAGACCGGTCAGCCCCCACCCCCAAAATCCCACCCTCCTTCTTCTCCACATCCCCCCCCCCCCCCCCCCCCCCCCCCCCCACGGCCTTCCCTGGCTGTACACGACTCCCTACGCCCCTTCCAGGACCCCCAAACCCTCCCCAGATGCCTCCTGGGGCCCCCCAACCCCTTCCAGGACCCCCAAACCCTCCCCAGATGCCTCCTGGGGCCCCCCAACCCCTTCCAGGACCCCCAAACCCTCCCCAGATGCCTCCTGGGGCCCCCCAACCCCTTCCAGGACCCCCAAACCCTCCCCAGATGCCTCCTGGGGCCCCCCAACCCCTTCCAGGACCCCCAAACCCTCCCCAGATGCCTCCTGGGGCCCCCCAACCCCTTCCAGGACCCCCAAACCCTCCCCAGATGCCTCCTGGGGCCCCCCAACCCCTTCCAGGACCCCCAAACCCTCCCCAGATGCCTCCTGGGGTCCCCCAAAGCCCTCCGGGACCCCCAAACCCTCCCCAGATGCCTCCTGGGGTCCCCCAACCCCTTCCAGGACCCCCAAACCCTCCCCAGATGCCTCCTGTGGTCCCCCAACCCCTTCCAGGACCCCCAAAGCCTTCCCAGATGCCTCCTGTGGTCCCCCAAAGCCCTCCAGGACCCCCAAACCCTGCCCCTAAGGGTGACAACGTGTCCCCCTCGCAGGGTACATCCAACGACGGTTGATCAAGTCGATGGAGTCGGTGATGGTGAAGTACGACGCGACGGTCCGTAACTCCATCAACCAAGTGGTGCAGCTGCGCTACGGGGAGGACGGGCTGGCGGGCGAAAGCGTCGAATTCCAGAACCTGGCCACCCTCAAACCCTCCAACAAGGCCTTCGAGAAGAAGTGAGGGGTCTCCCACCTGCAGTAGGACACGTTTTTTTTGGGGGGGGGGATGTCCCAGAGCGGGGTGCAGTCCTGGAGGGTGCCAGCAGCCTGGTGTCCTTGAGCTGGGCCCCATCTTGGGGTCCCCAAGCTGCTCCTCACCAAATTGGGACCCGTTTTGGTGTCCCCAAGCTGCTCCTCCCCCATTTGTGACCCATCTTGGTGTCCCCAAGCTGCTCCTCCCCCAACTGGGACCCATCTTGGTGTCCCCAGGGTGCTCCTCCACCACCCTGGGTGTATTTTGGTGTCCCCAAGCTGCTCCTTCCCAAGGTGGGACCCATCTTGATGTCTCTAAGCTGCTCCTCACCAAATTGGGACCTGTTTTGGTGTCCCCAAGTTGCTCTTCATCCAACTGGGTCCCATCTTGGTGTCCCCAGGGTGCTCCTCCCCAAATTGGGACCCATCTTGTTGTCCCCAAGCTGCTCCTTCACCGCCCTGGGTGTATTTTGGGGTCCCCAAGCTGCTCCTCGCCAAGGTGGGTCCCATCTTGGTGTCCCCAAGCTGCTTCTTCCCAAAGTGGGACCAGTTCTAGTGTCCCCAAGCTGCTCCTCCCCGAATTGGGACCCATTTTGGTGTCCCCAAGCTGCTCCTCCCCAAGGTGGGACCTATCTTGTTGTCCCCAAGCTGCTCCTCCACCGCCCTGGATGTATTTTGGGGTCCCCAAGCTGCTCCTCCCCCATTTGGGACCCATCTTGGGGTCCCCAAGCTGCTCCTCGCCAAGGTGGGACCCATCTTGGTGTCCCCAAGCTGCTTCTTCCCAAAGTAGGACCAGTTCTAGTGTCCCCAAGCTGCTCCTCACCGAATTGGGACCCATCTTGGGGTCCCCAAGCTGCTCCTCACCAAGGTGGGACCCATCTTGATGTCCCCAAGCTGCTCTTCCCCCCACAAACGTCTCCTCCGCACCCCAGCCCCTCGCACCAGCGTCCCCCCGTCCCCGCTGTCCCCTACCACGTCCGTGTGTCCCCTCCAGGTTCAAGTTCGACTACACCAACGAGCGGGCGCTGCGGCGGACGCTGCAGGAGGAGCTGGTCAAGGACATCCTCTCCAACGCCCACATCCAAAACGAGCTCGAACGCGAGTTCGAGAAGATGCGGGAGGACCGCGAGGTCCTGCGGGTCATCTTCCCCACCGGCGACAGCAAGGTGAACCCCTGGGGGGCACCCCCAAACCGCCCGCACCCCGGGGGGGCTCCGAACCCCCGTGGGGACGTCCCTGGGGGTGTCGCTACCCCTTTTTGGGGAGGTTGGATGTACAACCGGTCGTCGCTACTCTTTTTGGGGTGTAGCAAGAAGCTGTGAACCCCCTTTTCTTCACAGGTGCCCGTTTTGGGGTGCTGCCCCCCATTTTGGGGTGTAGCAGGAACCCGTGAACCCCCTTTTCTTCACAGGTGCCCATTTTGGGGTGCTGCCCTTCTCCTGACCCCCTTTTTGGGGTGTAGCAGCAAGCCCTGACCCCCCCCCCTTGCCTTGTAGGCGCCCTTTTTGGGGTGCTGCCCCCCTCCTGCCCCCCCTTTTTGGGGTGCTGGCACCCTCCATGACCCAAATTTGGGGAAACCAACCCCAAATCCCCCTTTTTTTGAGTATGTTCACCTATCACAGCCCTGATTTCGGGGTGCTGACCCCCATTTCGGGGTGCTGACCCCCATTTCGGGGTGCTGACCCCCCATTTCAAGCTACGGCCCCCCCTGTATCCCTCCTTTGAAGATGCCGACCCCTATTTTTGGGTGCTAGCCCCGATTTTTTTAGGGCGCCGATCCCCCTGTGGCCCTGATTATGGGGGTGCTGACCCCTGATGCCCCATTTTGGGGTGCTGACCCCCATATTTTCAGATGCTGTTGCCTTATTTTGGGGTGCTGACCCCCCATTTCCCTCCCCCTCCCCCCCCAACCCAGGTCGTGCTCCCCTGTAACCTCCTGCGGATGATCTGGAACGCCCAGAAGATTTTCCACATCAATTCCCGTCTCCCCTCCGATCTGCACCCCGTCAAGGTGGTGGAGGGTAAGTTTTGGGGACCCCCCTCCCCCAATTGAGGTGGGGGGGGGGG